CAATTCAAATCTCTCTTTAAGTTTGGCTGAAGTTGCCTCTATTCTAGTCAGATTTTTTTTAGCAGTTTTTTCTCAGCACATCCTCCTGTAATATCCTACTGGATGTGAAATATTTATGCATAATTATTCACATCCAGTAGGCTAGGATTATGTGTGTACAGGCTACATTCAGTAGGGGAAACAACAAGAACTTGTACAATCCTTTGGGCTTCCATGCACCCTTTGAAGTCTCCAAAACAGTCTCTACAAGAGGGGATGTAAGGAAGAAGCTGCTCAATGAATAATTAATAATTTACCGGCAAATACAAGTAATCCCTGTATGGATGACGAGGAGTGCGACAAAAGACAGACTTGAGAGTCCAAAATAATACAGTGTTTGTTTGTTTGTTTGTTTGTGCAAAGGTTGCTTAAATTAAAAATAAGCCAACCAAATGATATAGGCGATCTAAATGTCCATTTGTAAGGGATATAATGTTGTTTAGAGCAGAAAAGACAGCTTTAATGTAACCTATTCGATTATCCCATGAACAGGATGTCCCTGCATACTAAATTCCAGCTGAAATTTGACAGGTTTATGTGTAAATGTGTTCGGCTCCATGTTCCAGGCCTGTTTAAAGAATTGAAGTCTGTTCACTTCTGCACAGCCTACATCGTTTACAAAAAAAAATTCTTAAATTTGAGAAAAATCTTATTTGTTGGCAGTGGAATCCGAATTTAAACCCTTAAAAAAAATTCCTAGACAATTTAGACTAGCCTACTTCAGAAGCTTTGATTTGTGGACAGAACTTCACGCGTTAATATAATACGCGGCTTCTTATCCTCTGCCAAACACAATGTTGTGTCAAACTCTTTCAACTAGGCTATTTTCTTCCGTACAGGACGGAGATAATAGAAATTAACTTTTCACAGGCCCATTCGAGCTCTGTGTCAGAGGTTTTACAAAGTAGCGACACAGCAGGTGGAAGTTTACCGTGGTGTCGGGGCTCCTGCTGTAAGGACACGGTCCCGTCTCTTTGGAGGAGGATGGAGGACGGCTCTCTCACACGGCTGACTCTCCTGGCCGGCGGGCGGGGCACCCTCAGCCCGCTGCAGCACTGGTAGCACACCGCCCATGCCTGCTCCTCGTTGATGGGCTGCTCGTAAGACTTCAGCACCTCCTCCAGAGACAGTTCCCGGGGCTCGACCAGGTCCCGCGCCTCTCCGCGCTCCGTGGGAGCGGTCACCCGTGAGTCCCCGTCCTCGGCACTTCTGTTGGTGGATCTGGCCATGGCTGCGTTACCATGGAGCCCATCCTTCAGTCCGCACTCAACGAGGCCATTGATGCTCTCGGCGTCCGCCGGTCGGCCCAGTCTTCTTTTTTTAATGTCTACCTCTCTTGGACTACCGCAGCTGCACCTCGTTACCACAACACAGTCAACCTCACCACGTACATGTCAGTACATCCGGTCCAGTGATTCAACGTAAAACCCACAATGCAACTGTTGGTTATCATCACCTTGAAATCATTATTATTTTTTGAGTAGCCTAAATACTAATGTTTCGTTCTGACGATGACGAGTTACCCTTTAAGTTTTACAACTGCCTGACCAAGTTAGGAGGATGTTATTCATCATAAAACATAGGACTGTTTGTGAATGGTTTTCTTCTATCAAGACTCAGGCTAGTTTAAACCTTAAACAACAGGGCTTTTAGAAGCCTAGTTTAGAAAGTTTAGAAAGTTTAGAAAGTTAGGCCAATGGGAAAATGATTTTCACCTGCATTCTTATCAATAGCCTGCAGGAGGGGCAAACGAGTCTCATAGCCTACAGTAGAAGTCAATGAGAAAATGAACCCACTATTCACCTAGTTAATTACTAAGTAAGAATTCTCCTCATTGGAATATTGTCTCAAACTGTAGTTTAAGAACGATATAAAGTTAAAATAAAAAGGGGCAACAGAATAAAAAATTAAAATTGCACCAGAAGACAGGAAATGTTTCTGAAATGGAAATCGAAAAAGACATCACAATCTACATGGGCAACTGTAGGGAGTTTGCTTGGACAGTCAGCACGAGAAAATGTATCTCACCTTGCCAATATAGGCAGATATTCCCCCACTAGTAGGGTCTGGAAGAGTGGAAAACAAAAAGCAAATTATAGGCCTACACATATTTATTAAGAGTCCATACTGCCATTCTGGAAATAGGTTAAGGACGTTTTGAGCAATGATTTTGAGTTAAAAGACCTTCTGATACTAGACAATTATTTAGGCATTCAATTAGGCTACTGGGTATAAACCAACGTGGACAGGTGGTAGAGACATAGAAACAACATCACCCACCTATCCTAAAATAATGTTTAACAGCATTGGAATAAACTTAGGATGTCAAAAAATGTACTTGCAGGCCTACAGTTAGAGATGGCATCCAAAAAATAAATAAGATCTAGTCTGAATAACTACATTTACTTAACCCAAAACATGCAGTGATATATTAATTTAGTGAATTAATAACTATAATATGTGTCCTCTCCCTCTAAGAGAAATTATAAGTGAGGTGATTTATTTTTTTCAAGGAAACAGAAGCTAGATTTAAGCTGACATGCAAACAGACTTCGATGTCAGGTTACAATTACTGCTTTACTCTGAAAATCATGCCACGACGCTTCCGATCCTGGTCTGGCTGATTGTGGGAGACTTGACAGAGCTTGTTACCTTATCAGCAAATGAGAGAGACGATTGCGGGAAAATGTTAGGCAACAGCCCATGAGGGAGAAACCATCCTGCCTAGTAGCAGGCTAGAGGAGGGGAGGTGAATATACGTTTGGTGGATATTGAACCACGTCAAACAGTTCTGACTTTGTGATGACTTAGTTAGGACTTTATTATCACTATGAACTGGGAATTTGGAGATGAATAGTCTACATTTTGTTAGGCCTGTTTGTCTGCCTAAACCTATTAACATCAGCGTCAAGAAGATAATTATTGTCATTAGTCCTGGACCAGCATGCTGCAACATTTAAATGATAATGTAGGTATAAATACCAAACATCTGATATAGCCTATTCTACCGCCAGTTTAATTTACTAAATAGTTTAAGTAGGGGACGATTTAGACCTAGTGTTGAATTCTGAGCACTGAAAATCAGTAGGTCTAATGGACAAAATAGCCTAGGCCGACACAACTTAATTTTCTCCAGTCAAAACTAATACTCAACTTGCTCAGCCAAATTGTTACTTGAATTAAAGTAGCCTATTGTTTTGCTTTTAAAAAATAAAGAAGGCTATTCAAAAAGGTGATCATCTCAAAACATTATTGTATTTTCACAATGCAGGAGTGCAGTCAAGAATGCATGGGTGTACATTGTACTTTATTAAAAAAAACAACTTTTGTTACATTTCTACAAAACTCATGCTATTTATTTCCAGCTGTGCAGCTCAAAAATACAGGAAAATGTAAGCCATGCTTTACACAGTGAGAAAACTTTCAAATTTCAAACATGGGATGAAGATATGGCCATTAGTGCTCAGGTGGAGAAACATCATCATTCTCTGCTCTATCCCTAACTACCATCACTAAACGAACTGCCTGAGTTGAGTGTTTGAAGTTTGCTACAAAACAAAAACAAACAAAAGGAAGGGGGAAAAAAAACAGTTAAAAGCAGCTTTATGTTAAATATCAGTGTTTCACTTTTTTTTTCTGCAGACACCTGATGTCAAGAGGGGCGACTGGAGCTACAGTTTGTCTGTGGCGCGCTCAGGCTGTTTCAAGGTCAAGATTACTTTAGGGTTAAGTGGTCGTCACTCCACAGGGTTTTTTTTAAATGAGGATCCAAATTATCCACAGCGTTTCATCCTCATCATGAAAAAATTGACCAAATTGGTGAATTCTTTGATACAGTCCATCCTGAGATTCATAGGTGAGGGTTAAGAGGGTCATAAATAGAAATCAACTTCTTCAAAGCCTCTATCATGTGGTATATTAGTAAAGAGTGATTCCACATTAAATGTGGCCAGTAGCATTTTATCAACAGGAACATGGATTCCGTATGGCTATGGATCATACCAATGGTATGATGAAGACAAAGAAGTAACATGAGGTTTTCAAAAGTAGTCAACAAATAGATATTTTCTCTGTTAAAAATACAATACCAGCTGTAAGAGTTCGACCTGGTGGTTTTTCTAGGTTTGTGAGCCCTCTAGGGCCCCCTACTGGTCTGGGGCCCCAAGCAGTTGCCTTGCCCGTTTAGAAGCAGTGCCACTGAATGTGTATATAACTGGTGTATTTGGATGATCTACTTTCATGAAATCAACTTCTTTTAAATGTCGCCACTCCTAAAATATCAGGATAAAGTACTGTTGTGAATAGTCTTTTTAAATCCCTCAATTGGATGAAAAATCCATTACTATGGAACCTCCCTAATTGGCCTTCTTGACAACAGTATCTTTCTCTTGAGAGCAGGATGTCTCTCAGTCATGCAGAGATCACAATCAGGAATGATCTGTGCTAAATGTCTTTGTGCCTTTATATTGCTTGGCTTGCTTTATGGTGTCGACTTGACAATTCCTGAAGAAGATCTGTGACATCCAAACGTTGCTTTTTCAATTCAAGTTTCTGGGAGCTTTTAATACAGGGTGCAGATCCTTTTTTTGATTCTTTCCTTCATATATGGCTACTACAGTATCAGTTAGGCTGGTTGGCAACTTAAACAGATCATCCAGAGACATGTAGAAATAAGAATGAAAAAAACATTTACAAGAAGAACATTGAACTCCTTTTTAACTAAAGTTGCCGCAGCTTTTAATACAGGGTGCGGATCCTTTCTTAAAATCTTGCCTTCAGTTTGACTTTTGATCCAGCCCCTGTGAAAGCTTTTCTTGGGATGTGCGTACCCTCCACCTTGTTTTGTCAACAAGAAGGTCTATGTCCAATCTCTTCTGTTCTTCTTCACTGTTAGCTGTTTTGTACCCAAGTAGTGTCATGGCCCCTTCACACACTTCCTGGACTTGTTTGACTTTGTTGTGCTACAGCGTGCTACGCCACGCCCGGGAAACATCAGTAGCATTGCGTGATGTAATTTTGAAGGCCCCTTTGCCCTTGACCTTCCCGTGGGTCATATGGTGGATCCACCCCTCCAGCTCTGGGGTCAGCTCGAGACCTACAAACTCATAAATGGCATTTATCTCCTCAATTGGGTTGCGGGCAACATCCTCATAGCGGACCATTTTGTAGCGGCCTTCAAGAAGAGGAGGAGGATTCAGGATGGCTCTGTTGTGGATGTGCACATGGCTGCGGCAGATCTCCTGCATGACCTGATACTGCACATCAGTTGCTGGTATGTTTCTGTGCTCTAACACAATAGTATTATCTCTCCTAAGACCTTTCTTTAATGCCTCTCTTGACCGCAGAACAGCCCGGGGGTCCCTGACCAGGTGGATGATGCGGAGGTCCAGGCTCGGGTCCTGCAAAAGCGGGTAGAGGGATTCCAGCTCGAAAATTCTCACTACTTTTAGCACTACGTGACTGTAAGTGCTGCAGGCTTCCTGCACCAGCTGCAGGCCCCAAGCATCACAATCCTTCTTGCACTGAGTCTCGTTACTGATCTGGTGGTGTGGCATTAGAGGACAGGCTGGTTGTGAGCACAAGGCTCGACTTTGACGCCACAAAAACAAATTGGACACTTTGGGATGCTTGGGCAGGTAGGTCTCCATCACAGAAAAATCACACTGGAATATGCTCTGTAGCAAATCCCTCACGGCCATCTGGATCACCTGCATACCTGCTTTCTGAAGAGTCTTCCACACGTGCCAAGTAGGCTCCATAAGGTAGAAGACAGAAGGGTGCTGACTGAACACCTGACCCAGGAAGGATGAGCCTGATCTCCATGACGACAGCAGCAGAACATGAACTTTGCTACTGGAGGGCTTGGGGCGGAAGGGACTCAGCTCCGTGTACCAGCTGCAAAGCAGCACCATTGCTGCCCCATGCAGGATCACCAGAAAAATCCTCCTGATGCTGAGTTTTACTCTGCAGCGCATCCTGAGCACTGGAGCTGCAGAAGTTTTATGTGGATATTTCTCCTTTTTTATCCTGGTCTGATGGAAAGACCTGAAAGGAGGGAAGGGGGGAAGAAAAAATGTATATGTTCAGCAAGAAATATAAGTTTGTACAATACAAAATTTATTAACCTTATTATCCTTTTAACAAATTTTAAGCTGTGCTCTGACCAAAAGCAAAGCTAATGTTTGTCTTCTGCATTTTGTTCAAGTTTACACAGCTGAACCATTTGTCTTTATTTGTGTGGGTAGAACATGAACACTAGAACAAGTGACTTGTTGGAAAAACCAAATGCCATAAGTACTCGATATGTAACCTCATCAGGGGTCACATCCTAGTGGAGTGTGGAGGATAATCGTGTGAAATTACTAACATCGCTTTCGACAAAAGCGTCTGCAAAATGAGTTGTAGATTTGTAGGGCAAGATGCAGGCGAGGCCAATTAGGATGGGGTGAGACACAAGACAGAAAACGCAGGGAGCAGGTCTCCATACTAAATCAAGTCCTCTCAAGACTCCTTGGGTAGCTATGAAACTTTCTTTGAAGAAAAAATAACTAGTCATAAAACACGAAGGCTTTCAATTCATAAAATGAAATGACATCAGGCTATGGACAGGTGGGCAGTATATATATCCTCTGGACAGATTCTCTCTGCCCCCCTCTTCATTTCTTCCTCTCTGTCTGTATAACTCTACTTATTCAGTTATTCTTCTGCCTGAATTTATATTAAAGATCTTGTAAAAGCAGTTTGAATGCAAATAAGATTGCTTTCTGATAAGCCTTCCCCCCCAAAGCCTGTTTAACAGACACCAGACACCCTGCCTATTTAAAGCAAACAGCATGATAAAGTGAGGAGTGATTAATAGTTTATTCTACTTCAGTCATTAAATATGAATTCACTGTTGAGCACGCCTCTCTTCAACCTTTCCTGAGTAGAACCAATAATGATCAATCAATGAATATTTATTTATATGACATTTATAAAGCCAGGAAATGTAATATATATAAATATAGTTTATGACCTTAAGATGAAGAAAGATGACATAATATATAACATTATCACGTCATATAACATAAAGCAGTTACTAACAATCCAGGTGAAATGACAAAAGGAGTAAGATTAAGACTTGAATAGTTTTCATTGTTATTTTAACACAACATTATTGCGTTCCTTCCTTAGACACCCAGAGCTCTGCCATACAGTGTTTTTTTTCAATCTCCTTTAATAGTTCAATCAGCTTTAAGTTGTACCCCTTATTTATTATTCAATATCAGTCTGCTTAGTGCTCCTTAAATCAAGGCTACAGAGACTATGACAAACGCAAATTCAGATCAAAACAAACATGTACAACATAAGGTTCCAAATACTTTACTTTAGTTTCACTGATGTTGATCCCCAAACTCAACCTCTGAAATCTAGACGGTGTTTGATTTAAAACAGTCTGCTAAGCAGGCACAAATTCATTCAAATACAACTCAGGGATTCTGTTGCATAACAGAGCACATCTGAACTTAGATGTCAAACTTTCAAAACCAAAATCGAACTTTTCAAATCAACATAAGATTCCCAAAGTAGCATGCTTACCTTCTTCAATAGCAGAGATGCTTTGAAATGAGATAATCAACTCTGTCTCCTCTTCTCCTCTACTTTATTTTAATAATGCACGGCATTCAATTGTGTAATGACAAACTAATCCTGCATGCGTGGCATATAGTGTAATTATGACTGAGTCTACAGTGTTAGAGAGCAGATGCACTCTACCATGACAGGCATTGTGTGTATGTACCTTTAAGAGACAATAAGTACATTTTGGTTCACCAATCATTTTTTTTTCTAAAAGGATTGAAATTATTTTACTGCAATTCCTTAAGCATTTAGTGTAAGTGTTAGTAGACTGTTTACAGACTGAAGTAGATAATACATCTCCCTATGTCAAGTTTAGTTTTGTTCTTATCAAGCTGAAAAAAATCTGGGAACATTTTTTATTTTGAAGCTAATTAAACCTTCATTAAAGTGATTTTAAAGAGCAGAGTGGATAGGAAACCCACTTGGTGCTGGGAAATATAGAGCCCAACCAGTTTGTGATATTTGAGAACGAAACCATACAGGTGGATAAATGAATAAATGAATGAGTCCCTTTGTGTTTTTAGTGTTTAGTGTGTAATCGGCATTACTGCAAAAATTCCTCTGAATCTGTATGTGTGTGTTTTAGCCTGCAATAGTTCTGATAAGTGGTGAGCAGGTGTCTGTCGTCTTTGACAATGTCATTAGTGTGAGCTTGTGATGTCCTCTAGTGGGGGAAGCAGGTATTTTTTTTGCAGCAGAGCAGGCTGCAGACAAGCTGAATGTTAATATGGTAGATAAATGGTTGTGTTCATCGACATTGTCTGATCATCGTTTGATGTAAATGATAAATGGACTTTTCATGTCTTCTGACTACTCAAAGCGCTTTTACACAGCATGTCACACCTACACATTCACACACTGATGGCAGTGGCTGCTTTGTGTGTGACCATCAGAAGTAACTAATCCCATTCATACACATCCACATGATGCCGACGAAGCAGCTGAAGCAATTCGGGGTTAAGTGTTTTGCCCAAGGACACAACCCTAGGCCTTCCGGTTGAGAGATGGCGACTCTACCAACAGAGCCACAGCCGCCCCAGTGATGTCAAAGTTACACCTGAGTGTATTCTTCCAGACTCATTTAATTAAATGAATCTCATGCAGTGTGTTTAAAGCAGTTATTATTAACCGTTTACAGTGAACAGAGCTGGTGAACAGGAGATCTTCAAGCTGGTCCAGTTGCTGATCTGGATGCTGGACAGGTTCTTGTGGGGTCCTGACAGTCAGATCAGCAGCAACATAAATGTTTAAGGGACAGCTGAACATCGGGCGGCTGTGGCTCAGTTGGTAGAGTTGCTGCCTCTCAACTGGCAGGTCAAGGGTTCGATCCCCAGCTGAGCAACATGTCCGATGTGTCCTTGGGCAAGACATTAACCCTGAATTGCTCCCGCTGCCTTGTTGGCGGATGTTGTACTTCTCTGAGGTCTGCACATATTCACCATGGTCATCAAAGACCTCTTCCTCCTCAGACAGGCCATCAGATACAGAGTCAAATCTGCTCTCATCATAGCAGTCATCATCATCATCTTTACTACCATCTTCCCTCAGGCTCATCCTAATATTAAGGAAGACTGGGTGAATTTATCAAAAAGATGATGTGTGGCGGGAATTATTCCATCCTGATCACCTCAATCATCTGCTGGAGTTGCAGTGGTGAAGATTACACCAACTGATGGGAGAAAAAGAAACATCTGACAGTGTTCTGTGCTGGAAAGAAAAGGTGATATTGACTCTATATCCCCTTGATTCTTGGGGGCATATTTGCTCTGTAATTTGTTGTTACTTTAGTGCAAGAATGGGGGGGGCAGCAAGGCTAAATAAGAACAATGCATGGTAAAGCATGGCAAATATGATGAGACTAACAATAAAAGCAGAACAGACGTCACTGAAACAAAGATATGAAAATAAGACGAGTCATTTTCCACCAACAGATTCACCTGTACAACAGTGAGTAATGAAGGTCCCACATCCTATCTGCGTGAATGAGGTATGAACCTTAAAAGAAGATTTTTGAGTTTTTTCTTATTTTTAGGGAGTTGTTCATCTTCAGAGAGTCAGGTAAAATAAGAATCTGATTAGAGCTACTACTGTTTGTGAAGAAAAGAGGGGGCCCAGCATTGCTTTAGGGATCGACTTCTACATGACTTTAATTGAAATATATTTTGGATACAGAAGAGATGATCTCAAATCCAGCTGAGCTTCATGTGAGCACTGCTGTCCACACTGATCTTAGTAATTATTTTTTGCATCACTTCTGTTCTGATCATTTTTCAGTTTGTAGACAGTAGCAACAATTTGACTCATAAGATGTGAATCTGGGAAAATTCATGCCACAATAAAGAAGAGTTGATTCATTTGTTAAATTTCATGAGCTTAATAATGAACCCTTTAACATTTTTTTTTATCAATTTAAGGTATGACATATAAACTGCATTAACAGGAAAACTGATGCATATGTAGTGTTTTTCTATCTAATTTATTTGTTTATTTATTTCAAGTAATTTAATTCATATCACCACCATGTACCAAATTCAAGTTTAAACTCTTTAAAAACAAATCCTGTTTATGTTTAAAGGTGCACTATGTAGTTTTGATAGGGAAATGTACAGATGTTCATAACTCTATACACAAACTGTCCTCAGAGGAAAAATTGTTCCCTGGAACACTGTTTGAAGATAAAATGCTACACAAGAAGTTATGGTGGTTTGCATCAGCAGACCTGAGAGCTCCAAACAGTGTTCCAGGGACCCATTTTTTCCTTTGAATGAAGTTTGTGTATTTAGTTCAGAAACTATAGCATAGAATTGTTTCCCTTCTCCAACTTTCAAATTTCACTCCCAAATCTACATAGTGCACCAAGACTCTATTAAAGATGCAACCACTTTTTTTAATCAAGCCATAGCTTTAAATGGCTCATCACTTTAAGGAAATATTCCAGATCTTTTTGGCTGCTTTAAAAAAAAAAAGATAACATGACTGAGTTTACATGTGATATTACCAAGAAGATCTTATTACTTATTAATGTACTGTTAGATGTAAACTCAGATCAGATTAATGCCTGTATAACACAGTCAAATTGAGTCTGTCTCCCTCTAGAGGCCAACCTTGGAACAACAATGTAGATTAGGCTGTGATTCTTCAAAAGTATCTTATTCAGTGTTGCCTGTGTGGTTTCAGGTGATTCAGCAGACCACCTGAAACTGAAGTCACAGTGGCCAGATGGTTCTTATATTCATTTATGTTCATTTATTGTGTCTGGCTACATGAAGCCTTTACACAACAACAAACTGAGAGAAACCTGTCCTAAGATTACTCATCTGAATGAACAAATGAGCATGTGCATTTAGGCTGATAAATAGTTCAGGGCTTTATTGCT